ATTCATTTTGTACATCAGTCGTATAAAACCACTACGTTTCTCTGAACATCTGAGCACAATGCTGTGGGATTTGTTCTAGGTTTGCTCAATTTGTGCATCCACTTGGAATTAAAGCAGTGCTGCAATGGGTGAAAGAAATCTTAAACCGGCATAGGCTTTGTATATTTTTTGGAATTCTTGCAATATCTTTTCAGCAGTGTTTCATTATTTTTAATTAATAATTATTTTTGAAGGTCATTTTACTGATTGTTTAAAGTTAATTATCAAATGTCTCAAAAACAGAACTTCATGGTTGAGATGGTGAAACATGATTTAAAGACACGACAGGGAGATCAGTAAGTACCAGGCCATATTTTGAGACCTTGATACAGCCACCTTCTAATAACCAAGAATAGCTGCCTTCCATTACTGACAGCCAGCTGCAGAGTTATGCTATTTACAGCAAGGATAATTGCAGCCAACCAACATATAGGGACATCTCTGTAAACAGTTGGCATGTTCACATCTGACCCATTATCATCTCCATCTCAGATAATGCTATGATATCAATAAATGCACATCTTCTCCTTCATTTGTTCTTTGTCCTGCATGACCATGTTCCTGACCACTGCTATCTGCCAAGGTGTGCACTTCTGTTTTCTGGGGGGAGTGCCTTGGATTACCAAACAGGATAACTCCTCAGTGTACCCCTTGTATTTCATAACAAATTCACATGATCAGTTCAGAGATGCACCATATGCCCATAGATTCCATTTCATGGCTGTAGTTTGTTTTTCCCTCACGTTAGTTTATAATGTTTTCACTTTGGAGCCATAGAGCCTTTGGATAGACTGACATATGTTTAAAACTACTTTCGAGCTTCCTAAAGCCTGAAAAAATATTTGCCTCCTTTACACAGCTAATTGTAATCTAATGGTTGCACTCATATAGGTTTCTGGACCAGCCCACTATGGTATAGTTCTCGATCAATTTTACTTCTCACTGCCTGAGCCAGTGTACACATGAAATGTATTCCATGGGCAGAATTTTTCCCTGTTTAATATGGCTTGAGTAATGGAGTGAAAGATGGGAAAAAAGGGTGTAAACGGAAAATAATCTGATTCTAATCATCAAGAAAAGTTCTCCCAACTTTCCCCTCAAGCGGTAAGTAGTGAATTCAGAGTCACACCATTGAGCGGCAGCTATCTTATTCCCATGCAATAACAATTCACTAACACCCTAACCAATCCTCGTCTGTTTTACTGAGAAACTAGATTCTTGAGATGAGCAGGTACCTTGTGGCTGCAATTAGCCTCCTGCTTAAGCTGGCCATTGAACAGATGCTCCTTCACAATAAAATCCCTGCATGCTCCATGCCCACCATCCTCTGCGAACTTTCACGCACACAAGTCAACAACAACAAAGCACCAGCCTCACCACATCATCATGTGTGCTGTTGTCCAACTCAGACTCCAGTTCAGCCCACACACTACTTTGGAGCTCAGGGACACCCATGACTTGAATGCTACTGCCAGGTTCGCTTTGCCTTCAGGGACATGCAAGTGTCTTATGGCTCTTAGCTTTACTTTCTTACTGCTCATGCACTTTACTTGTTGCTTGGAAGCTTCTGGTCTCTATATTAACATACACTCTCTGATTTCGGCATTGATTTACAGATTACCCGCCTGTATGCTTTTCAGAGATAATAGGAACTGCCAGTGCTGGAGTCTAAGATAACAAGGTGTGGAGCTGGAGGGACACAGCAGGCCAAGCAGCATTAGAGGATCAAGAAAACTGATGTTTCGGGTCGGGACCCTTCTTCAGAAATGGGAGAGGGGAAGGGGGCTCTGAAATAAATAGAGAGGGGGGCATGTTGATAGCAGGTAGATAGTGGAGCGGATAGGTAGGAGGGAAGACAGACAGGTCAAGGAGGCAGGGATGAAGCTAGTAAAAGCGAGTGTAGGTAGGAAGTGGGGATGGAGATTGATCAGTGAGGAGGGAGGGGCGGCCATTCAGCCTATCAAATCCAAACCGAACCTCAGAACAGCATCCCACCCAAGGGTGGTCATTTTCTTTCAGTATAGATTTTATTTGTTTTTATTGGGAAGTATGGATTCATCAGCATTGGATCCATGAAAAACAACTCACGATATTTGAATAATAATGGCAGCATGGTGGCTCAGTGGTTAGCACTGCAGCCTCACAGCACCACGGACCTAGGTTCGATTCCACCTTTGGGCGACTGTCTGTGTGGAGTTTGCACACTCTCCCTGCGTCTGCATGGGTTCCGTCCGGTTGCTCCGGTTTCCTCCAACAGTCCAAAGATGTGCAGTTTAGGTGGATTGGCTATGCTAAGTGTTCAGGGATATGTAGATTAGGTGGGTTATAAGGGGATGGGTGTGGGTGTGATGCTCTGAGGGTCGGTGTGGACTTGTTGGGCCAAAGGGCCTGTTTCCACACTGTAGGGATTCTATGATGTAAAACTAGGAGCTAAGAGATTTTGGTCTCCACATGCACTAAGATATTTTTAATCAACTTGTTCAGAAATGTTATTACACACCTCTGGAGCAGGTGGGACTTGAATCCAGGCCTCCTAGCTCAGAGATGGAAACACTACCACTACGCCATCAATACTATCTCAGCTCTAGCTATTGGCTGCACTGCACCACCAGCCATCTCATGAGATACTAATCTAATATGTTATACCTACAGATGTATAAAAACATCTCAAAATATTTATTTGCACTTTTATTTTCTTGCCATTAATGTATTTTATTTCTTGGCAGTCTTATTTATTGCTCCTCTGGACTTTTTAAATGTCAGTGTAACAGACTTTATTATAGTATGACCCAAGCCAAGACAGCAGCTTGGCATACTCTGGTGGGACCTGCTTAAACTTCTTTAGTATCAGCTAAATGTTGGTATCCTGCACATATTCCAACCTCACAAGACATGAGCATTGGGGAATATAGCTCACTAATCCACCTAAGAATAAATTTGAAGCCATTATCTTGGAAAGCTGACTCATCAAGAGATGTGCATGTGGAGATGATAATTAGCACCTGTGACAGGAAAGCTTTCCTTCAGCATAAAAACATGAGCCTTGTTGTTCGACATTATTTCAATGTTGAATGATGTTGAGCTCAGTGACATAGGAATCCTATCATTCACAATTATCTGGAAAGCTATTGTACTCAATCTTTTTTTTTACATTATCAGACTGTTATAGAAGTGTATTGAAGACTGATCCTGTCTTAATTGTTTCAAGGATTATTTTGTTATTTTCTTCAAGTGCTTGACTGCTTCTTGCCATTATCTTACTTGTAAATTAGATATTTTAAGCCATATTCATTGGTCTTGCAGTAATAATGCTGTTCAAAAAAGCAAGATAGTTGACTTTTAACTACCTGAGAAAATGTTCCATTCAAGTGTAATTAGGGATGAACAATAAATATTGGTCTTGTCATGATGCCTACATCCCAGGAAATAATAAAGAAGAAAAAGAATGTGACGGGCATCCCACAATGGGGAATGTTAAACCTTTTGATCCACTAAGAGTAGGACGGCGGCATGAGTGTGTAGGAAACCCAGAAATGATAGTTTCTCAGCAGACTGCAGAGGTAAGAGACATCACTGAGAGCTTAAGATAACACAGCATGGAGCTGGAGGAACACAGCAGGCCAGGCAGCATCAGAGGAGCAGGAAAGCTGATGTTTTGGGTCAGAACCCTTCTGCTTCCCTATTTAACCATCTATCTTGGTTGGCTGGTTGGGTTTCCAGTTGACTTGGGGCATTCTATAGGAGGCTGCAGGACTAGGTTGATTGGGAGGGTTTTGATCTCAGAGATGGGGATGGAGAGCAGTGGGTTCCAATCCTAAGGCTTGGGGTAGGGGTTCACATGGGTCAGGGAGAGGATGACCTCTGAACTCAGGATGAGAGGCTCCAATCACAGCCTGAGGTCAGAGGAAGAGTCCTGGGTAAGGGGTTGACCTGATCCCAGCAAAGAGTTGTTCAATCCCTGATTTCAGGATGGTGGCTTCTGTTTGGGGTGGGGGAAGGTGGGTTGGATGGTGAACGATGTTTAGCAGGGCTGGCAGGAAGGAATAACCCTGAGTCTATTAGGAAAGACAAAATACTTTGGGTATTGGAAATCTGAAACAAACCCAGAGAATACTAGAGAAACTCCAACTCTGGCAGGAACTGTGGAGAGAATAAGAGTTAACGTTTTGAATCTGGTATGACTCTTCTTCAGAACCCCGAATGTCTGTTTGCCTTGCTGCAGCTCTAGCTGGGAAACTGGTAGCCATTATCAAATCTGCAAAGCAGGTATTTTCCCAGCTTTCAATATCATTGTCATTTTAAAATGCCAGACTGTCTCCTGGGCTTCCTGCCGTTTGTTCTGGCCAAGTAGAAAGCAGACATTGGTCAACTGGAATAGGTTTCCCAACACATTTAACATTCATTGCCAACTCACACCCAAATCCTTCTGTAATCTCAGAATGGTTACAGAGATAGGCTGAATTTTCAACCAAGGAATCAGGAATTCTACAGACAACAAATTAAAAGTATCAAGTAGTTACACAGTTTCAAAGACTTTAGATAAAGAATGGGGAGATAAAAATGAAAGCTTTGATTTAAATACAGTGAGGGTGCTGATGTTTTTACTTAAACTTATTGGCTGCCAAGAAAAAAAAAGTCAATTTTCCTTCGGAAGAGTGAGCAATGTCAGTTCTTCCAAGAGTTTGAATAAGGGGGAAGAATTTATGATGATGCAGAAATGGAGATGATCTTTTTCAACATGTCATGCTCTCATTTTCATTTTTCATAAAGTCAAGTAATATCCCTACTTCTATTCTTAATGTCTCTAAGACCATGTAACAATTGCTTTCCAAACCAAAGGCTGCACACAATAAGATTTTCAAACTCGCTGTGCTGAAATATTTTATGTGCCATAGAACCTGATGTTTTGATTATATTAAGCTCTTTTCAACTATTCCCCCCCCCCACCCCAAATCTTTTAGGTCCATAACTCGTGCGTATTACAGGAATTCAGTGGGAGGACTGCTCTTATTCGATATAACTAACCGTAGGTCATTCCAGAATGTGCATGAGTGGTTGGAAGAGGCCAAAGTTCACGTCCAACCATTCCAGATCGTTTTCGTGCTGGTTGGCCATAAATGTGACCTGGCAACCCAACGGCAAGTGTCAAAGGAGGAGGCAGAAAAGCTTGCTGCAGCGTACCGGATGAAATATATAGAGACGTCCGCAAGAGATTCCATCAACGTTGAACAGGCCTTTACCGATCTGACAAGAGATATCTATGAACTTGTCAGAAGGGGTGACATTATGATGCAAGAGGGATGGGAAGGAGTGAAGAGTGGTTTTGTTCCAAATGTGGTCCACTCCTCAGAGGAAGCTGTCAAATCAGGCAGAAGATGCCTTTGCTAATTAAAGAGTGGAAACGTTTAAACTTGATAAATGCCCTCGCATGTAGAGACTGTATCAAATAAATGCTGTAGGCCTTTTTAAGTTTGTATCACAAATTATTCACTATTTCCACAATACAGATATTTGATCAATCATTTTGTAATTAATGGGAACCTGACGTCTGAACCAGTTACCCTAATTAGCTGGCAGATGGGAATGGAGAGTTTCCACCTACTGTTTGAATCCCTGGGGATGGGGGAAGACAAGAAACAGCTTATGTTTTTGAAAATTTCTAAAGAGAAGCATTGAATAATTCAGATTGTAACCGGTTTGATAGCCATTAATTGATTTTCTACTACAAGAGAGGCAGTTGAAGAACCTGAACTGCTACTTTAATTCAGTCTGCATGTCCTCATTCCCTTGTACAATGCAGGAGAGGATCTTCATTATAACCTGCCTACTCTTGATTCACAGGTACAGCAAAGTCAGCCTCCCATGACACAGTGTGAAATAACTTAAACTGGGTCCAATAATAAAGACCTGCAGAAATAAATATAGGTATTTTTCTGGCTAACATCTATATTAAAAAATTCTACAGATCATCTCACTGAACACACTCAGAGGTAGACTTCATTCTGAGGGTAATGGTCTATATTTTTTTCCCAAATTTCTCCCTCCTCTCTGTCCTTCCTAGAGATGACAGCTGCATGCTGCGGTACAGTGTAGCTCTCTGGAACATGGCCAAAGTTACTATTTATCAGGTTTGAATTAATTCACAAAGCATCATCAGTTTATTGAAACTCAGTGCATACTTCACAACGGAACCCGATCAGCCATCATGTACTCTCTACAGCAAGAGTCACTGATATCAATTTGGAACATGAACCTCGATTTGATTTTCCCTCTGAAGTCAATGCTAGCATCCCAAATGTTACTGACCCAAACTGTTCAGCACAGTCTAGACAACAGACTGGGTTCCTCATAATAAAGATCAAAATAGTCTTGTAACATACTGGTTGGTACAATGAGTTAGATTCTCACTGGGAGATGTTTTAATAATATTGGGGATACGCAGGAGAAAATAAGGGAGAAAAATCAAAAGTTAAGTTAAACAATAATATTTGCCGAGAATAAATGGTGAACATTTTGAAATTACAGAATTAAGAAGGCCTTCACTAGCCTCCCATGTGTAGTGACTGTACAAACAGTTAGATATTTGTAAAATCAGTAAACCAACTGTATACTGTGTATGATAGATCAGTGCTATTGAATTAGCCGTTACTTCACCGAATAAATGGTAAATTCAGAGTCCTTACCCTTGTGAGTACACAGGAACTCCAGTTAAATACATGATGAGTGACCCTTAGCTTATGAATAAACAGAATATACAGAATCATTAACTTTTACCCTGCTGAATAAAAGGAGCTCAGGACAAAAGATTTTTTTTTATCCTGGTGAATAAAGAGGAGTTCAGTACAATTGCATGGTAAGGACTTCATGCAGCCAAATAAACAGCAACTGTACGGTTACGTGATGAGAAACTCTTACTTTGCCAGGTAAGCAGTAGGTCCACACAATCTTAGATAATAACTTTCACATGCTACAAAAACTAAACTTCACTCAACAAGTAACTGCTGAAGTTATGTGAGTATTCTACAGTTATGAGAGTTCTTACCTTACTGAATGCATCATTCCAGATTAATTCCAGACACGTAATTCTTACTTAATTGAAATGGAAAATCATTTGACCAGATGCTAATTATTAATCGCTGAATAAACAGGAACTATATGTGATTTTACAGCAAGTGCTTTGATCATTAATTCCACTAGGTTTCGGAGAACTGAAACAATTATGAGTAAAAATCAACATTGGTGAAAAGAGGAGCCTCTTGCTGAAATTTTTCACCTCACACTCATCAGGACGAGGGCAAGAATGCCAAATTTCAAATGATTACAGCAGATTTTGGGTACAGAAGAAAAGGGAAGCTGTTCAGTTGCCAATTCAACTCTGATTGGCCAAGGCATGACCATTGAGAACATGATAGGGAACTATAGGCTCCCTATGCTTCTGGATAATGCAAAAAGCAGCAAGTCTGTAATGTGCCTGTAAGGAGCCTTCCTGCTCCTCTGATGCTGCTTGGCCTGCTGTGTTCATCCAGCTCTCCACCTTGTTATCTCAGATTCTCCAGCATCTGCAGTTCCTGCTAAGTCTGTAATGTATTCCTTTTATTTGCAGAGTGAATCCTGGCTTGAGTGTGGGTCACTTCTAGCAGGGGTGAATGAGCCACATTGTGAGCTTGACTGATACCTTAAATTGGTATTTGTGTAGTTGGCAACATACTAAAAAATATTCAACAAATGCTGCCCAGTTACAGAATCACATCAACTAAATGATGTTTTGGCTTTTGTAAGTTTGAATTGTTTGAGAATGGCCTATATACTGCCTTTGAAGAACAGCCAGAGGAACATGACATTTGATTCAGTCAGTCATTGGAATGTATGGCACTGAAATTCATTCACAATATTTCCCAACTGTGTGGTAGGCAAAATATCTGTTTGAATAGATGGCAACCCTATTTGTGAAAAATACCACTTCTACAACTGCATTGTATCAGTGTGATTGTCCCTTTGTTTTAATTCTTGAGATATTTTGCTTTTCTAGGGAATTTTGAGTACACTGAACTCCACTTAAATTCAAAGGTGATAGCCTTTTTCAAGCTTACACGACACACAGTGAATGATTTGATCAGGATAACCATTGTCCTGCAGAACAATTTTGATCCACACTTTCAAGTTGAGCAAATCAATAGTGCCCTACTGACATGTTTTCACCGTGGCAACACTTTTTCTCTATTATAAATTGTGGTGATCATTTGAAAGACGACATTCTTGACTTGATGGGTTTAAGTTTGACAGCATGTCTGTCTTTGCAGCAATATTCAATTCCTGTACTACTAAGCATCTGTTCATAGAAACCAGTTCAATCATTGTGATGTTTCAAAAATAACCACTAGTTAATATCTCTCACAATTCTGGATTGTTTTCAAGTGATCTCTCACCTCATTTCAGCATGAAATGTACCTCAGATACTATTGTATTAATTTCCTGAAAATGCAGCTCCTCAAACAAATGAATGATTCATGCATTTAATCCTATTTAACACTGTTTAAACATTGAAAAGCAAAATGTGATAGGTATTTTAGATTTGCAAAACTAAAGCATTAGGGTCAAACTGACTTGAGTCTGTAAGAGACTGAAAGATGGCTAAATCAGCCCTAATTGTTCTATCTAGGGTATTCTACTACAGCTACACAAAGATTTAAATGTAATTCCCTCTGATTTATCTGTTCCACATTTTGGGGTGCACCCATATTTGGGGAGGAGTACAAAATCAGTGGGAATGATTTTGACTTTGGCCATTTGTTTAAACAGCTGCTTCAGGATAGCCATTTGTTATACTTCTCTTTCAATTTTCATTTCGAATGAAGTTGATCAGAAAATATGTACAATGGCTAACTGATTCAATGTTGCCCATTTTCCCTGTTGCCAAAACTGGAAATTAAACCCAACAGTATATGTATAATTCAGATACTGCAGATGTAGCAGTATCATTGGTATCATCACTAATGAGGGAGGTCCAGCTTACCTGTCCAGTAAGAGAAAATTACATAGTACCTTCTCATACTCTCAGGACATCCCAAGGAATTTGTATGTTCCCTATGTTTATGTAGCAATTGTCATATTGCTAGACGTGGCAGGCAATTAGTGCACAAAAAATTGCATGCACAGCCAATGAGGTATAGATCATTTATGAACAATTATACATTATCAGTAAAAGCAGAATGAACATGGAGGAAATATCTCATAGAAATATGGTACATTCAATTTACCTGCATAGATGATGTGCTCAAGTTCATAATGGAGCTTGGAACACAATCTTTTGACCACTAATGAGAGTTCTTCCATGGAGACATGTTAACATTAGATTTCCACATGTCATCAGCTGTATCCTGAGTAAATCTGAGGATTCATTTACACTGTGTAATCTGAAAGATCATTCCAAATGTTAGTCATTCTCTGCATGAACCTATCCTTACTGACAGCAGTCTTAAACTGGTCTCTCACTTCTTTGAAGCCTTCCTTATTCAAATACTTTGGTTTACCTTCAGATTGTGGATTCTGGTTCTTCAATTCATTAGAGTCATAGCATTTAATATTTTATGTGCTTCTACTGTAATTATTGTAAATGTGATGGGACACTTTATTCCATGTTTCCTACTATAATGACAGAGTTAGCTGACAATTATCTGAAGCGTAAAATTAACCAATGTGGGACAAGTTATCTTAAACTTTTCAGTTTAGTGCTTTATTACATTGAAAAAGCATGGTGGAAGTCCAAGTCCCAATTATGCACTGTACCACCAAGACTGAAAAGAAGAAAAAGGAAAGAACAAGAATAATCAAAGAGTTGTTAGTTTGGATTTTAAAGCTATTCAAGGGAAAACTAGTTGGTAAACTGAAAATTCCACTGTTTGAGGACCTGTCAAATGCTAATTAATTATATTCCTCCTTAGTCAGTGGTAAAGCAGGCTGAACGAATGCAGTATGCGTCAAGGAGTCTTTCATGGAACCAATTAATATTTTGAGGGTACAAATTAACAAATAATTTTGCATTAACTCTTGAAGTTTAGTGCCAGGAACAGTTGTGTGCGCGCATACAACTTGCACTGCATTCCTGGTGCCTTTCTCCCAACATGTGTGTTGCTGGTGTTCCCCTGACTACCTCCTGCTGCCATCAAACCCACTCTCTTCACCATATTGAGCTGTTGTCACCCGCCTCCTGAGCATACACAGGGAAATGCACTTTGTCTTTGGACCTCACAGCAGGTTACCTTGCCCCAAAGCACCATTACATGTTGCAGACTATTGCAAGGAAAATTGAATACAAAGTAGGGAGACTGTACCTCAAGTTATATAAGGGATTGGTGTGACCCATCTGAACTGTTGCATACTGTATTGGTAACTTTATTTAAGAAAGGGTGTAAATGTGTTGGAAACAGTTCATAGAAGATTTACTAGACAAATACCTGGAATGAGTAGATTATGTTATGAGAAACCATTAGACAGGCTTGGATTATATCTGCTGGAGTTTGGAAGAGTAAGAGGTGACTTGTTTGAAATATTCAATATCATGAGGGGTCTAGACAGGGTACAAATAGAGGGGATATTTCTTCTTACAGGTGAAACTAGAAGTAGTAATCACTGTTTAAAAATAAGTGGTCACCTATGTAAAACAGATTAGGCATTTTTTTTCTCAAAGAGGATTGTGAATGTTTGGAAGTTTCTTCCTGAAAAGGTAGTGGGAACAGACTTTTTTGAACATTTTTAAGGCAAAGATGAGAGATTCTTGGTAAGCAAAGGAATTAAAGGTTATCAGGGGAATGCGGTAATGTGGATTTGAGGTACACTCAGATCAGCCATTATATTATTAAATGACAGAGCTGAAGGGCCTACTCTTCTTCCAGGTTCTTATGTTTAAATGAAATGCACTGAAGAACGGAAGGTGTCCATGCAGTGTTGATGCATTATGCAATCATTATTGTTGCTTTCCATGGCAGACTCAGTCAGACTAGCTACCTATAAGCTCAATGAAACCCAAAATCATTCATCTTTGAAAGGAGGTGCATATACAGATAAGAACGAATGAAAATGTGTGCCTGCAAAATAAAGTTCATTGTGATAGACACTATAATATTTCCACTTTCTTCCGTCTGTTAAAAATGGGAATTGGTTTTTGCTTACTGATATCAGTCTTGTTATTAATACTTTCTTTGAATAAATTTCCCGAGATGCAGGCTGCAATTTCAATCACAAAATTTGATGTCAACACACATATGTATGAAGGAAGTGCATCTTTGCAGTTGTGGCATCAGCAAACTCAGGCCTGCTTTTAAATGTGTCCAGTAGGCAGTGAGGGACCAGTATCAGGTGCCCATTCCTTGCAGATACCATAAAAAAAAATCTGATTCTATTCTTCAATGTGCATTTCAATTGTATAATTAAGAAGTAATTGCACTCAGGAAGGACATCTTCCATTTATTTCATACTGGAGCAGTAATGGACACTGTAAAACAAGTTTACAGACAGGGTAATGCAAGTATAATTAATTAGAAAACAATTCAACAGGGGCTAATAATCAATATCTTTACTACTTAAGTGACAGTTAAATGCAAAAGAATCTCTTAAGGAATATGTAAAAGTAAATGTCTCAATTATTATCTTTCTGCTAAAGTCCCAAGAACGTACTTAATTGTTTTCTTTCAGTTACACCTTTCATCCACCAACTAACTGCTTTTAATACTTTGCCACTTACTAAGGTCTGAAACAACTGAGGTGATTTGGCCTCATTTAGAAATCTTTGCAGGGCTAGGTGTATTAGTGACCCAGTTTTACTGTTGAACAGTAGATGATGCATTTAAGTGTGCAACTATGTGTGTGCATAGTAGTGCAATAAATCAAATGGAGGTTCTGGAAGGAGCTTACTCGCGGTGGGCCAAATAATTTTGAATAGTCAGATTCATTGCTTAGACATTTGTATTGTGAGGCAAAGAGTTAAACTGTGAGGAGGACAGTGGAACTATGAAACGACATTAATAAGTTGGTGGAATGGGTACATAGGTGGCAGCTGAGGTTCAATGCAGACAAGTGTGAGGTGATGCATTTCGATAAGAAAAAAATTGAAAGACAGTACAAAATAAAGGGTATAATTCTAAAGG